CAAGGCAAAAGGAGGTCCAACCCGTTACTAGCGTGGTGTACCTAATAAAGTGGCCGGTGAGTGTATATATACGGTATATTGTTTAACAAACAATATTATGTCATCTTAGCAAGATTTCATCCTAGGTCAAGGGAAAACACAAAGATAAACACAAGTGATATCTAAGTATGATTGTTGTTAACAAATCTTGTTCTGATTATAATCACTGATGAACAGCATGTCATGAAAACGTAGGTCATTAAAGTATGTCATGAATTACTGGCTTAAACCTAAAAGTATTAGTTCCAGCACAACAGTAATTGTTTTTTTCAGACTCATTGGAAGCAAGATGTAAAAATGTGAGATGGGTGATTCCAGACTTGTGTTCAGCTCTGCATATGAATGAGTTTTCATAACTTTCTGTGTCACTGATGAAGTTCCTGCCCTCCCTCCCTCCCCTCCCTCCCAGCCACTTCCAGCTGCGTCTCTTCTCTCTGGTTGTGCTGATCAGCAACAAGCTTTTCCATAAGACCGTCCACCTACAGTCCTCCCTGACACCGTCCGCCTCATCGGAGAGGCTGTCCTCGCCCCACACCTCCCCGAACCGCCAGAGACTGCTGCCCACGCACTGATGGATCCACTGGAGTGGAGATGATCTCAACCCATGTGCGGCTTCAACACGTACAACAAAAGAACAAGAAATTCTTCCAGAAGGTTCAACCTTAATGAAGGTGATGTGCAATGGCGAATGAAGGGTTTGTGTTTTGTATTATTTCTTATTTCTGGTCCTTTGCTTCAACATTTTCAGCTCTAGTCAGATGTGACAGAAACTCTATTATTGAAATATAGAGCTCTAGACTTTAGGTGTTTTCTTTCCCTGTGTTTTATGTGCCATTGGAATGACTTTTCTTTAATACATTACAGCTGAACAGATGGTTTTAATACTTAAGCCACAGTAAAGAATAGTTGTATTTCATTATAAAGGTGGCCCTTTTAAATCCAAACACAAGACACAGTTGTGTTTATCTTCTGTGTTGCAAGTGGCATGCTTTCCTCACAGATTGAATGTTTTCTTGCACATGGCTGCTGCTGTCCAATCAGTTTCAGGTACAAACTTGTTCAACTGTAAAGGGAGTTGCCTTTTTTTTAAAGTTAATATTACTCTGACAGCTTTTTCAGTTTCTAGTGAGATTCTTAATTGGTTCGGGAGCTGGTTATCATTTGTGAAGGAAAGCAGAAAACAAAGTCACTTTTGTATGTTGACAGAAATGTTGTCGTTCCTCACCACTGTTTGATGTCATAGTTTATGAGATGACACCAGCCAAGGCGAAGTTGCCCAACTGTGTGTGACAATTTGTGATGGTAAGAAGACACTGCCAAATCACTGCATCTTTGTTTTGTTTTTCACTTTGACCACCACAATGTGAAGCTTTATAACAAAGGGAGAATCCTAGTTAATGCCTTTAAATCTTAAAAGAGAGTGTTTAGTCTCAACTTATTGGGCCTCTTCCCTCCTAGAGAGCTGATGCACATGTACCTAATCCCTAAACATTGATTTGATTGGTTGATCTTTTTGGCCTGTACTTAATGTTATTACTGCTCAGTAGCTCATTCAGACACCCTCCTTCAGCAACCCTGTCTTAATCTGTTGTCTCTCTCATCGGAGCTGATGACTGTGGATAAGAGCAATGATGTTGAACTGTGTGCAATTATTGGAGAAGCAGACTGATGTTTGAGGTTTTTGTAAAAGTAACACATCTAATTTCAATAAAATTGGTCAGTATTCAAAGTTTGTTCTGTTTGGCTCTTTTTCTTTTCAAAACAATGTCAATCAGAAGTAAATCAACGTTATTACAACACAAAAACAAACTGAACTGGAGAAGCACGTCAAATGTATTTCACTAAACTCAACATTTCCCTGCAAATTCACATAATGAAACTATACTGAAGATTTTTGTTGGAGGTAAAAGGAATTGAGATTATAATTATTATGTTATATATTATTTGGATTAATATATTTTGTGTGTACCTATACGAGGGGTGGAGCCAGAGGGGTGAACCTAGGTGCTCATCCCATGTTTCCCAATTGATTGACAAGTCACTGCATGTGACATTGAAAGATGAGCGATTAGAGCAGTGGTGCCCAAAGTGGGGCCTGCGGGCCAAAATTGGTCTGCCAAGCTATTTGATTTGGCCCACCAGCAGTTGTCCCGGTTATTAGATTGTAACATTCTGTTTTATGTAGAAACACTATGTTTCCACTTAGTCTTTTAAACCACTGGTTCAACTATAGGTACAAGGAGCTGTAGTCAGATAGTCTTAACTCATGGTACTCACTTTATCTTTGAATTATGTTAAGATTAAATATAAAATACAAATAACTACAAGAGACATTTAGATTAGATTTAAACCCATAGATTTGTTCTCCATATAAGACCACATATACTCAAATTTTAAATAAAAAGTCCCATGAGCCTTTGCTGCCCAAGCATACGTTGAATTTTCTCTATACATGGGCTGAAAAAACAAACAAAAGAATGTGGGCAACCACACTGGCTACTAGCTTAATCCTTAAAAAAAACTTAAGCAGTATTTGCATTTCTTATATTATTGCATTTGGCCCACGGCCCTCAGACTAATTTTAATTTTGGCCCTTTCAGGGAAAATGTTTGGACACCCCTGGATTAGAGTAGTAAACGAGGACATAAATTATTGTTTTGTATTATATATTTTAAAGAAAAATATTTTTAACATGTATATTCTTTGCTACAAATCTGTTATTCACTTGTAGAACCACACTTCTCCTTAACCCTTTCAAGTGTTGGAAGTGACCTTTCCAACACAGTAAATAATAAACTCTTCTTAATGTTCTGCCTAATAAAATTAAAAAAAAAATAAAATCTCCTGTATGCTTGAGTTACCTGAAAGTATTCCTAGTTTGTCAGTCATATTGTTTATGTAATGAGGGCAATCCATCCCATGATAAATTATATTATTGTGTGGGTGTTATAAGGGGTTGAGGAAGACTGACATGGCTAAACAAATGGAGAAATAGGTTATAAAATTGTCAAGAAGGTGTGTTTCCTAGATACCAGGTTCAAGAAAGTTATACTGGTTTCCTAGATTTGTACAGTGGTTTGCAAAAGTATTCATACCCCTTGAACTTTTCCATATTTTGTCACATTACAACCACAAACATAAATATATTTCACTGGAATTTAATGTGAAAGACCAACACAAAGTGGTATACAATTGTGAAGCAGCTAATTGTTTTATTATGTTAGCTAGCCTGTTGATACCTTTACCTTTTAAC